CAAGTACGTTTAATATCACAGTGTAAGTCTGATAATATCAAGTGTGTTTAGTATCACAGTGTAAGTCTGATAATACTAAACATTGTAATGTCAAAGACATGACATTATCCTGATAATTCCTGGTTTAGTTCATAAGGTTAACCTGTTAATAAAAATTTTGATATCACATTATCGCCATGTAAGGATGAAGTTTATCTAGTGTAAATCTTTGATTCTGAAAATCACAATATCTTACAACTCCAGCAATTTTCTCTCCTGCATGCTATTTTGTCTTCTGTTCTCTATTGAGAGAAAAACTTGTGTGATGCAAATCTGCTGTTCAAAATTTTGAAATGGCTTGCAGAAAAAATTGAGATTGATTAAATTTTGTTCTTTGAAACTCGGCAGGGGACTAACACAAAGGGAAGTGAATGTGTGTCCAGGACAGCAGGAAATGCAGTAAAAAAACATTCAGTTGTAGCTAACATCGAGAGAATTGTCCAACGTACACAGACTTTACAAGTATGGGTACAAATGTCCCTGTATGTACCTGTCTAACGTACACAGACTTTACAAGTATGGGTACAAATGTCCCTGTATGTACCTGTCTAACGTACACAGACTTTACAAGTATGGGTACAAATGTCCCTGTATGTACCTGTCTAACGTACACAGACTTTACAAGTATGGGTACAAATGTCCCTGTATGTACCTGTCTAACGTACACAGACTTTACAAGTATGGGTACAAATGTCCCTGTATGTACCTGTCTAACGTACACAGACTTTACAAGTATGGGTACAAATGTCCCTGTATGTACCTGTCTAACGTACACAGACTTTACAAGTATGGGTACAAATGTCCCTGTATGTACCTGTCTAACGTACACAGACTTTACAAGTATGGGTACAAATGTCCCTGTATGTACCTGTCTAACGTACACAGACTTTACAAGTATGGGTACAAATGTCCCTGTATGTACCTGTCTAACGTACACAGACTTTACAAGTATGGGTACAAATGTCCCTGTATGTACCTGTCTAACGTACACAGACTTTACAAGTATGGGTACAAATGTCCCTGTATGTACCTGTCTAACGTACACAGACTTTACAAGTATGGGTACAAATGTCCCTGTATGTACCTGTCTAACGTACACAGACTTTACAAGTATGGGTACAAATGTCCCTGTATGTACCTGTCTAACGTACACAGACTTTACAAGTATGGGTACAAATGTCCCTGTATGTACCTGTCTAACGTACACAGACTTTACAAGTATGGGTACAAATGTCCCTGTATGTACCTGTCTAACGTACACAGACTTTACAAGTATGGGTACAAATGTCCCTGTATGTACCTGTCTAACGTACACAGACTTTACAAGTATGGGTACAAATGTCCCTGTATGTACCTGTCTAACGTACACAGACTTTACAAGTATGGGTACAAATGTCCCTGTATGTACCTGTCTAACGTACACAGACTTTACAAGTATGGGTACAAATGTCCCTGTATGTACCTGTCTAACGTACACAGACTTTACAAGTATGGGTACAAATGTCCCTGTATGTACCTGTCTAACGTACACAGACTTTACAAGTATGGGTACAAATGTCCCTGTATGTACCTGTCTAACGTACACAGACTTTACAAGTATGGGTACAAATGTCCCTGTATGTACCTGTTATAGACCATAAAACATTATCCTTTGGCAGGTTTATATTGTATGGTTTCATTAGAATTCCAATTTGTGAGATAAAAAATAACCAAGCTTCATAATGGAATTTCCTCAAGTGTTGTTTGTAGTATCATAAACACTGTGGTCTGTACAGACACCGTCCAGTCAGTGTTGTTTGTAGCATCATAAACACTGTGGTCTGTACAGACACCGTCCAGTCAGTGTTGTTTGTAGCATCATAAACACTGTGGTCTGTACAGACACCGTCCAGTCAGTGTTGTTTGTAGCATCATAAACACTGTGGTCTGTACAGACACAGTCCAGGTAGTGTTGTTTGTAGCATCATAAACACTGGTCTGTACAGACACCATCCAGTCAGTGTTGTTTGTAGCATCATAAACACTGGTCTGTACAGACAAAGTCCAGTCAGTGTTGTTTGTAGCATCATAAACACTGTGGTCTGTACAGACACAGTCCAGGTAGTGTTGTTTGTAGCATCATAAACACTGGTCTGTACAGACACAGTCCAGTCAGTGTTGTCTGTAGCATTGTAAACACTGTGGTCTGTACAGACACCATCCAGTCAGTGTTGTTTGTAGCATCATTTACACTGTGGTCTGTACAGACACAGTCCAGTCAGTGTTGTCTGTAGCATTGTAAACACTGTGGTCTGTACAGACAAAGTCCAGTCAGTGTTGTTTGTAGCATCATAAACACTGTGGTCTGTACAGACACCGTCCAGTCAGTGTTGTCTGTAGCATCATAAACACTGGTCTGTACAGACACAGTCCAGTCAGTGTTGTTTGTAGCATTATTAACACTGTGGTCTGTACAGACAAAGTCCAGTCAGTGTTGTCTGTAGCATCATAAACACTGGTCTGTACAGACACCATCCAGTCAGTGTTGTTTGTAGCATCATTTACACTGTGGTCTGTACAGACAAAGTCCAGTCAGTGTTGTTTGTAGCATCATAAACACTGTGGTCTGTACAGACACCGTCCAGCCAGTCAGTGTTGTCTAGCATTGGAAACACTGTGGTCTGTACAGACACAGTCCAGTCAGTGTTGTTTGTAGCACCATAAACACTGGTCTTTACAGACACAGTCCAGTCAGTGTTGTTTGTAGCATCATAAACACTTTGGTCTGTACAGACACCGTCCAGTCAGTGTTGTCTGTAGCATTGTAAACACTGTGGTCTGTACAGACAAAGTCCAGTCAGTGTTGTTTGTAGCATCATAAACACTGTGGTCTGTACAGACACCGTCCAATCAGTGTTGTTTGTAGCATCATAAACACTGTGGTCTGTACAGACACCGTCCAATCAGTGTTGTTTGTAGCATCATAAACACTGTGGTCTGTACAGACACCGTCCAGTAAGTGTTGTTTGTAGCATCATAAACACTGTGGTCTGTACAGACAAAGTCCAGTCAGTGTTGTTTGTAGCATCATAAACACTGTGGTATGTACAAATGTCCCTGTATGTACAAATGTTCCTGTATGTACACCGTCCAGTCAGTGTTGTCTGTAGCATCATAAACACTGGTCTGTACAGACACAGTCCAGTCAGTGTTGTTTGTAGCATCATAAACACTGTGGTCTGTACAGACACCGTCCAGTCAGTGTTGTCTGTAGCATCATAAACACTGGTCTGTACAGACACAGTCCAGTCAGTGTTGTTTGTAGCATCATAAACACTGTGGTCTGTACAGACACCGTCCAGTCAGTGTTGTCTGTAGCATCATAAACACTGTGGTCTGTACAGACACCGTCCAGTCAGTGTTGTTTGTAGCATCATAAACACTGTGGTCTGTACAGACACCGTCCAGTCAGTGTTGTTTGTAGCATCATAAACACTGGTCTGTACAGACACCGTCCAGTCAGTGTTGTCTGTAGCATCATAAACACTGTGGTCTGTACAGACACCGTCCAGTCAGTGTTGTTTGTAGCATCATTAACACTGTGATCTGTACAGACACAGTCCAGTCAGTGTTGTTATATTAACAACACAAAAGCTTAGTATATTGACATAGCGTGGGAAACACACAGCCGCAAAAATAGCAATCCTTGTGTTCTGGATTGTTGTTTACCTGTAATGTATTACTGTGTATTTTTCAGAAATCTGTTGAAATATTAGAACATTTTCAGCCTTATTATAGATATGAAGGTTAGGATGTTTGACTATAAATGACATCTATTACATCCTAATTTTCTTTTTCACAGATTACTGATACCTGTTTAGAAACACATCATGTCCATTTTCATTGTCAGGTGTTAAGGACGGTTGTGTCATTGTTTATGTTGTCTGATGTTTACCTGAGTATTGATCAGTTGTCAGGTATTACATGTTAATTGTATCAGTGCCACTAGCTGTCAAGCCTGGCAGTTAACAATTTCATATTGAATTTGTGTAATAACCTGAATTGATTACAGGTAAAACACACACAACATTGGTTTGTCTCACCTTTTTCTGTGTGTGATTACCTGAGTTGTGACAGGTAAAACACACACAACATTGGTTTGTCTCACCTTTTCCGTGTGTGATTACCTGAGTTGTGACAGGTAAAACACACACAACATTGGTTTGTCTCACCTTTTCCGTGTGTGAATACCTGAGTTGTGACAGGTAAAACACACACAACATTGGTTTGTCTCACCTTTTCTGTATGTGAATACCTGAGTTGTGACAGGTAAAACACACACAACATTCGTTTGTCTCACCTGGTCTATTTACCAAGATAACCATTCACATCATTATACACTATATGATTACCTAGTTAAACCTAGATTTCAATGTAACTCACTACTGTTTACTTAACCTATGAGATAATCCCAGATTTCAGTATACTAAAGCAGAATTTATCTAGGTTTAATATTATACCATTAATTATGTATGTTACAGAACTGTAACACAATCACCTTGTTTAATATTACACCATCAGTTATGTATATTACAGAACTGTAACACAATCACATTGTTTAATATTATACCACTAATTATGTATGTTACAGAATTGTAACACGATCACATTGTTTAATATTATACCATTAATTATGTATGTTACAGAATTATTACACGATCACATTTTGTAATATTATACCATTAATTATGTATGTTACAGAATTATTACACAATGACATTGTTTAATATTATACCACTAATTATGTATGTTACAGAATTATTACACGATCACATTGTTTAATATTATACCACTAATTATGTATGTTACAGAATTATTACACGATCACATTGTGTAATATTATACCACTAATTATGTATGTTACAGAATTATTACACAATCACCTTTTATTAATATTCCATTGTTTATTATGTATTTTACAGTACTGTTTCACCATTACATACAAGAGTGAGGGCCAGCGACAGTATGACCTGCGCACAGACACAGAGTCTGAATGTAATGCATGGATTGACCACATCAAACGAGCACCGTGAGTAGAAGGGATAGGTCTGCACTGCAATAATATCTGGTAATCTTCGAATCATTGTCAAATTGAAGAAACCTGTATACAGTATATAATTAATGATGTCATCAATTTCAAATTGAATTATCTGTCAAAGTCCAATATTAAAAAAAAAGTCCTCAGCAAAGATTTAAACATCTAAAGCAAAACCTGTTTTTTTTTTTTCAAAATCTGACATTATCTGAACAAGATTTTGAAACCACACCTTACAAAAACAATCTTAACCTGACCTATGAAAGACTACTTAAACTTGACCTTACAAAAGCCTACCATATTCTGACCTTACAAAAAATACCTAAATCTGCCCTTATCAAAAACTACCAAAACCTAACATTACAAAAACTACCTTAACTTGACCTTAAAAAACAACTCAATCCAAACCTTATCAAAGCCTACTAAAACCTGACCTATTAAAAACCTAAACCTGAACTTACCAAAATCTATTTAAACTTGACCTTATACCTAAGGTCATAAAACTACCTGTACCTGTGACCTTTCCTGTTATATTATAGACAGTATTGTGTCCCTGTTATATTATAGACAGTATTGTGTCCCTGTTATATTATAGACAGTATTGTGTCCCTGTTATATTATAGACAGTATTGTGTCCCTGTTATATTATAGACAGTATTGTGTCCCTGTTATATTATAGACAGTATGGTGTCCTTTCCTGTTATATTATAGACAGTATTGTGTCCCTGTTATATTATAGACAGTATTGTGTCCCTGTTATATTATAGACAGTATTGTGACCACTTGTTATATTATAGACAGTATTGTGTCCCTGTTATACTATAGACAGTATTGTGTCCTTTCCTGTTATATTATAGACAGTATGGTGTCCTTTCCTGTTCACTTCAAAATTGAGATATTACTCAGTATATATCTGTTGAAAAGATTTACCCAAGTTCAGACATATAGTAGAATATTTTAGGAGTCAATGTTTTAAGGATAAGATGGTAAAGTGAGATCATATGTATGAGTATGGCTGACGATATGCAAAGACTAGAATTGGACCAATCAGCATCCTCACATATACCATGCATACATATTCCCTCTGGGGAAACATCTGCCAAAACAACGTTCCAAAAGATACATCAGTTTTGTTGGTAATTTGTGATAGAGAGGCTGTTCTAAGGCTGATTGACTAACTCAGCATTGACACTACTTATCTAGCCAGTCCTTGGGGAGTCAGAGAACAAGAGCTGTGTTAGGGGCCACTTGGTTTGGATCTGAATCTTTGTATTAATTTACACTGATGTCAATATGATTTGTTTGGTCTCCCTTTCCTGTAATCTCTGGAGATGGATACTGGCTGCCATGCACGTTTTTTTCCCCTTTTTTATCAACATTAGATGATGTTAATATTGAAGTGATTTGCTTCTACAGCCATTTTACGCTGGGTCTGTGGTTGGTGTGTGATGCTTACACAATGGCCTTTCATCAGGCCCTACAAAATGTTATTAATGTTGGGCTCCACCGAAAGCTACTGCAGGTAACACAATATCACTGGCTGTCTATTCTATTTCACACTTGTTAAATCCTATCAGTCAGAATCCACTCTACCACAATGGCTAGCAGTGGCAAATACTCTGTCCACAACTCACATACAATCAAGAATCCTTTAAAACACACAAAGTCAACTCTCTAAAAAAATGTGATTATCAAGAGTGTGAAATTTTAAGACATGGATTAATAACTGGTAGAAGTGAAAGTGGTCAGTAAGAAGGAAATCACATGAGAGTCAGCATTCATATGATGTTTTATGAAGGCCAGTTGATATTATAAAAATGGAATTACTCTTAAATCTTGTTGTTTTGTGTATAAAAAATAGAACCTTCTAATGATGATCTGTATTTGTGGAAACAATAGCACTTTGTTTCAACCTTTTTTCAATGGTCCTTATCTGTATAACCAATAAAACCTTGTTACAGTGGTCCTTATCTGTATAACCAATAAAACCTTGTTACAGTGAATCTTGTCTGCATACCCAATAAAACAATGTTCAAATGACCCTTATATGAGTAAACAAATAAAAATTTAGAGCAATGATCCTTATTTGTTTAAACAATAAAACTTTGTTACAATAGTCCTTATCTGTATAAACAGTAACACCTTGTTACAGTGGTCGTTATCTGTATAAACAATAAAACTTTGTTACAATGGTCCTTATCTGTATGAGCAGTAACAACTTGTTATAATGGTCCTTATCTGTATAAACAATAACACCTTGTTACAATGGTCTATATCTGTATAAACAGTAACATCTTGTTACAATGGTCCTTATCTGTATAGACAGTAACATCTTGTTACAATGGTCCTTATCTGTATAGACAGTAACATCTTGTTACAATGGTCTGTATCTGTATAAACAGTAACATCTTCTTACAATGGTCTGTATCTATTTAAACAGTAGCATCTTGTTACAATGGTCCTTATCTGTATAGACAGTAACATCTTGTTACAATGGTCTTTATCTGTATAACGTAACATCTTCTTACAATGGTCCTTTTCTGTCTCAACAGTAACATCTTGTTACAATGGTCCTTATCTGTATAGACAATAAAACTTTAATTCAATAGTCCTTATCTGTATAGACAGTAACATCTTGTTACCATGGTCCTTATCTGTATAAACAATAAAACTTTGTCACAATAGTCCTTATCTGTATGAGCAGTAACAACTTGTTATAATGGTCCTTTTCTGTATAAACAATAAAACTTTGTTACAATGGTCCTTATCTGTATAGACAATAAAACTTTAATTCAATAGTCCTTATCTGTATAGACAGTAACATCTTGTTACAATGGTCTGTATCTGTTTAAACAGTAACATCTTGTTACAATGGTCCTTTTCTGTATAGACAGTAACATCTTGTTACAATGGTCTGTATCTGTATAAACAGTAACAGCTTGTTACAATGGTCTATATCTGTTTAAACAGTAACATCTTGTTAAAATGGTCCTTATCTGTATAAACAGTAACATCTTCTTACAATGGTCCTTATCTGTATAAACAATAACACTTTGTAAAATAGTCATTATCTAAAAAAATAGTTTGTTAATAATTACAGGGTCAATTGGATAGATGTATGTAATTGATTTTAGGTACAGTAAGGTAACTGTGTGTTACTGATTTTAGGTACAGTAAGGTAAATGTGTGTTACTTATTTAGGTACAGTAAGGTAAATGTGTGTTACTGATTTTAGGTACAGTAAGGTAAATGTGTGTTACTTATTTAGGTACAGTAAGGTAAATGTGTGTTACTTATTTAGGTACAGTAAGGTAAATGTGTGTTACTGGTTTTAGGTACAGTAAGGTAAATATGTGTTACTTATTTAGGTACAGTAAGGTAAATGTGTGTTACTTATTTAGGTACAGTAAGGTAAATGTGTGTTACTGATTTTAAGTACAGTAAGGTAAATGTGTGTTACTGATTTTAGGTACAGTAAGGTAAATATGTGTTACTTATTTAGGTACAGTAAGGTAAATGTGTGTTACTGATTTTAGGTACAGTAAGGTAAATGTGTGTTACTGATTTAGGTACAGTAAGGTAAATATGTGTTACTGATTTAGGTACAGTAAGGTAAATGTGTATTACTTATTCTAGGAACAGTTAGATAAATGTGTGTTACTTATTCTAGGAACAGTTAGATAAATGTGTGTTACTTATTCTAGTTACAGTTAGATAGCTATGTGTTACTTATTTTAGGTACAGAGAGGTAAGTGTGTGTTACTTATTTTAGGTACAGAGAGGTCAATGTATGTTACTTATTTTAGGTACAGTAAGGTAAATGTTACTGATTTTAGGTACAGTAAGGTGTTGGAACAAAAGGAGGAATTGGAACAGAAGCATCTCCACCTGTTACAGATCTTGGAAAGTGAGAGACAGGCTAAATGGCACTATGTTCAACAGACAGAGGAACTGGCCCAGGATGTTAAGAAACTTCGAGCAGAGGTATTGGTGATCTGTCTTATTTAGCTATCTGCAACAGAATTTATTACGTACCTTTTGGATACCTAGACAAGTATTTTTTTATAAATTTGTAATCGTACTAAATAACCAAATTGTTTCAGTATCTTGTAATACAGGATATATAGTAGTTCAAGGGGGTTGTATATAGTAGTACAAGGGGTTGTACATAGTAGTACAAGGGGGTTGTACATAGTAGTACAAGGGGTTGTATATAGTAGTACAAGGGGCTTGTACATAGTAGAACAAGGCTGAACTGTTTGTCAATACTACCTGATTCTGAACTGTTTGTCAATACTACCTGATTCTGAACTGTTTGTCAATACAACCAGATTCTGAACTGTTTGTCAATACAACCAGATTCTGAACTGTTTGTCAATACTACCTGTTACTGAACTGTTTGTCAATACTACCTGATTCTGAACTGTTTGTCAATACTACCTGATTCTGAACTGTTTGTCAATACTACCAGATTCTGAACTGTTTGTCAATACTACCTGATTTTGAACTGTTTGTCAATACTACCTGATTTTGAACTGTTTGTCAATACTACCTGATTCTGAACTGTTTGTCAATATGACGTGTTTCTGAACTGTTTGTCAATATGACGTGTTTCTAAACTGTTTGTCAATACTTCCTGATTCTGAACTGTTTGTCAATACTACCTGATTATGAACTGTTTGTCAATACTACCTGATTCTGAACTGTTTGTCAATATGACCTGATTCTGAACTGTTTGTCAATACTTCCTGATTCTGAACTGTTTGCCAATACTACCTGATTATGAACTGTTTGTCAATATGACGTGATTCTGAACTGTTTGTCAATACTACCTGATTCTGAACTGTTTGTCAATACTACCTGATTCTGAACTGTTTGTCAATACTACCTGATTCTGAACTGTTTGTCAATATGACGTGTTTCTGAACTGTTTGTCAATACTACCTGATTATGAACTGTTTGTCAATATGACGTGTTTCTGAACTGTTTGTCAATATGACGTGTTTCTGAACTGTTTGTCAATACTACCTGATTCTGAACTGTTTGTCAATATGACGTGTTTCTGAACTGTTTGTCAATATGACGTGTTTCTGAACTGTTTGTCAATACTACCTGATTCTGAACTGTTTGTCAATACTACCTGATTATGAACTGTTTGTCAATACTACCTGATTCTGAACTGTTTGTCAATATGACGTGTTTCTGAACTGTTTGTCAATACTACCTGATTCTGAACTGTTTGTCAATATGACGTGTTTCTGAACTGTTTGTCAATATGACGTGTTTCTGAACTGTTTGTCAATACTACCTGATTCTGAACTGTTTGTCAATACTACCTGATTCTGAACTGTTTGTCAATACTACCTGATTATGAACTGTTTGTCAATACTACCTGATTCTGAACTGTTTGTCAATACTACCTGATTATGAACTGTTTGTCAATATGACATGTTTCTGAACTGTTTGTCAATATGACATGTTTCTGAACTGTTTGTCAATATGACCTGATTCTGAACTGTTTGTCAATACTTCCTGATTCTGAACTGTTTGCCAATACTACCTGATTATGAACTGTTTGTCAATATGACGTGTTTCTGAACTGTTTGTCAATATGACCTGATTCTGAACTGTTTGTCAACACTTCCTGATTCTGAACTGTTTGTCAATACTACCTGATTCTGAACTGTTTGTCAATACTACCTGATTATGAACTGTTTGTCAATGTGACGTGTTTCTGAACTGTTTGTCAATACTACCTGATTATGAACTGTTTGTCAATACTACCTGATTCTGAACTGTTTGTCAATACTACCTGATTCTGAACTGTTTGTCAATATGACGTGTTTCTGAACTGTTTGTCAATACTACCTGATTATGAACTGTTTGTCAATATGATGTGTTTCTGAAATGTTTGTCAATACTTCCTGATTCTGAACTGTTTGTCAATACTTCCTGATTCTGAACTGTTTGTCAATACTACCTGATTCTGAACTGTTTGTCAATATGACGTGATTCTGAACTGTTTGTCAATACTACCTGATTATGAACTGTTTGTCAATATGATGTGTTTCTGAAATGTTTGTCAATACTTCCTGATTCTGAACTGTTTGTCAATACTTCCTGATTCTGAACTGTTTGTCAATACTTCCTGATTCTGAACTGTTTGTCAATACTTCCTGATTCTGAACTGTTTGTCAATACTACCTGATTATGAACTGTTTGTCAATATGATGTGTTTCTGAAATGTTTGTCAATACTTCCTGATTCTGAACTGTTTGTCAATACTTCCTGATTCTGAAATGTTTGTCAATACTACCTGATTATGAACTGTTTCTCAGTACTACCTGATTATGTACTGTTTGTCAATACTACCTGATTCTGAACTGTTTGTCAATACTACCAGATTCTGAACTGTTTGTCAATACTACCTGATTATGAACTGTTTGTCAATATGACGTGTTTCTGAACTGTTTGTCAGTACTACCTGATTCTGAACTGTTTGTCAATACTACCTGATTATGAACTGTTTGTCAATATGACGTGTTTCTGAACTGTTTGTCAATATGACGTGTTTCTGAACTGTTTGTCAATACTACCAGATTCTGAACTGTTTGTCAATACTACCTGATTATGAACTGTTTGTCAATATGACGTGATTCTGAACTGTTTGTCAGTACTACCTGATTATGAACTGTTTGTCAGTACTACCTGATTATGAACTGTTTGTTAATACTACCAGATTATGAACTGTTTGTCAATACTACCAGATTCTGAACTGTTTGTCAATACTACCTGATTCTGAACTGTTTGTCAATACTACCTGATTCTGAACTGTTTGTCAATACTTCCTGATTCTGAACTGTTTGTCAATACTACCTGATTCTGAACTGTTTGTCAATACTACCTGATTATGAACTGTTTGTCAATATGATGTGTTTCTGAACTGTTTGTCAATACTACCTGATTCTGAACTGTTTGTCAATATGACGTGTTTCTGAACTGTTTGTCAATATGACGTGTTTCTGAACTGTTTGTCAATACTACCAGATTCTGAACTGTTTGTCAATACTACCAGATTCTGAACTGTTTGTCAATACTACCTGATTATGAACTGTTTGTCAATATGACGTGATTCTGAACTGTTTGTCAGTACTACCTGATTATGAACTGTTTGTCAGTACTACCTGATTATGAACTGTTTGTCAATACTACCAGATTATGAACTGTTTGTCAATACTACCAGATTCTGAACTGTTTGTCAATACTACCTGATTATGAACTGTTTGTCAATACTACCTGATTATGAACTGTTTGTCAATACTACCTGATTATGAACTGTTTGTCAATATGACGTGATTCTGAACTGTTTGTCAGTACTACCTGATTATGAACTGTTTGTCAATACTACCTGATTCTGAACTGTTTGTCAATACTACCAGATTCTGAACTGTTTGTCAATACTACCAGATTCTGAACTGTTTGTCAATACTACCAGATTCTGAACTGTTTGTCAATACTACCAGATTCTGAACTGTTTGTCAATACTACCAGATTCTGAACTGTTTGTCAATACTACCAGATTCTGAACTGTTTGTCAATACTACCTGATTCTGAACTGTTTGTCAATACTACCAGATTCTGAACTGTTTGTCAATACTACCAGATTCTGAACTGTTTGTAGTCTGCACTGAATTGATGTAAAATCCATATAATCTCTTTTTCTCTTGTGTTCTTTCTATCTTCTCATCTTTTCATCCTTTTGATGAAATGATTTAAACTACCAATTATATGTCTACTATTACATATTTTCATGTTAATAATATAAATATCAGTGTCACATGCAGTATATTGATTATTTGTAATTTTATTTATGGAGAAGAAGAGTTCGTAGGTCACTAGAACTTGTCCCGGTTCCATTTATCTGCTACTGATAATTAAAAATGTTTAAATCAATTAACAGTAATTATGAATGTAGTAACCATAGTCCTTCAGGAAACATCACCTTACCATGTATAGATTTAATGTTATGTAGAACATTCCTGCATACAGGAAACACATGGACACATTAAAGATGGATGTATTTCTGTTAATTGTTTAATAGTAACCATAGAAACAACAGGCAGTAAACATACAATACTAGATGTCAACTACATTAACTGAAGAGCTTTACTAACCAAGATTATTAACAATAAAGACTATTTTTAATTTATAGATTTTATAAAATCTTTTCAAAATTCAATCTTTAGATGTGTTCTTTGATTGCTTGGTTTTCTGTGTAGCACAATACTTTGAATGTAGCTTGCTTGTTTGTAGTGTAATGAGATCAAACGCTGTTGTAATTGTGATGGTGTGACAGGAATGGAGGTCATGGAGTACCATCCAATGGGTGTCATGATTACAGCACCAATTAGCGCCCTATTGCCGTGTGACATGGATCTTTGTGGTGAAATAGCAGCAATAGGCCCCGATCTCTACATCGGATATGCATCTTAATGCTAAAAAATTATTTGTAATTTGAAATGAGACATTTTCTTCAGGATGGCAGTTAGTGTCTTAAATGGAATTAGTGATAAAAAAAATTTGAGCTCAAATTTTAGTTTTGGTTAATCAGCTTCACACCATAAAGCATGGTTGTTTGTCAGATAAGGACTCCGATGTTATGTGTTAGAGTTGGAATGATAATCATATATTTTTGATTGATTTTTACATAATGTTTACAATTTTCATAAAATGTTGTTTACATCAGACGTAATATTATCTGCCACTGGCCTGGATAAGCCTTGCCTTGTTGTCACTGATATTTGTTAAATATTACCTAAAATCAGTTTAGATTTGTTTGTTTCTTCACAGTTGGCAAAATTCAAAAAAGATCGTGTGGCTGGAGACAAGCAGGATGAAGAGACTGATGAGCTGAAGAAAATTAAAAAAGTATGTCAGCTAAATGATACATATGGTATATATTTAAAGACTTGTTCAGCTAAATAATGGCTACACTGGTAGTATCTAAAAATCATAATCAAACAGAAATGATAAAGTAGGTCAGTCACTCAATACACTAGAGTTACAAATAGGCCATCTAAATGATTTATATAATGGTTGAAATACACATTAACTTAATATATCATATATTGAGATTGGCAAAAAACTTGAGTGTTCGACGAGTCTTGACAATGGGAAAAAACTTCATCTTCACTTGAGAACTTCTACACACCTTTCATTAACAATTGATTATATAATGGTAGATAGGAATTTTTGTTTTCTGGGCAATTATTCACCTGTTTGTAAATATACAAAGCTGGAAGAGGAGAAATTTCTGTGCATGCTTCACAAATGTACAAAAAATACTCTCCCAAGATTGGATGGTCCATACCAAAAATTAATGATAACACAGCACTTGTAGCATTTTTAAAGGTTTTTTTTTTTGATGGCTTGATAACATAAAAATGATCCATTCAGAATATCTCCAGACAGTGTTTCCATTTGTCGGTACAAATGTCTTTATAGCAGATGGTTATTAATTCTCAGTGTAAATCATTAGAAGTGCTATCTTAATACTTGACATAATTCTATTATTCTGAGAAAATGGTATTAGTTAAGTTAAAGACAACTATAACCTCACCTGGTTGAAGGGCAATAACTCTTGGTGATGTTACAGAAATGTTGAGTGTCTGGAAGCTATTTCTCTGTATTGAACATTTGAAAATGCTTCAGTGCAGTGGTATTATTTTTCATTGATTCTATCTCATGGTATTTATGCTATAATGTATTATGGTCAGATTTCACTTACACATAGATGTATGTATTTTCAGATATTTTCCAAACATGTAATTCCGTTTTAAATTGGCCTCCGTTAGTGGTCTGTTGTCACTCTATCCATTTTCTGACATCAGATATCTGTTCCTTGTTTGTCCGTAATTTGTTCTGAAACAATTTTCGTTATTGCTTTTACTGTAGAAGTACCAGTTTGTATTGAGGTTCCCCTAGGTCCCTGGCTGTCTCCTTTTGACTTTGAGACTGATCAGAATAATGTAATGTTTGACAGGCAGTCATCTTTGATTTTGACTGTAATGGTTTGTTTCACTATTTCTGCAGTAATATTTGATGAATCATCCTTAGATATCATATGTAGTAAGTCTCGTTGATCCTTTTAATAATTTTAATAATTGTTTGTTATCCCTATTTCTGGAGAAGCACTGCACGGATCTCTCTTAAATTTCATATGCAGGTTTTGTTTGGTCTTTAGATGTGTCAGGACAGATTAGAAATACAACACGGCTGACATCTTGGATTTTGACAGTAATGGTTCATTATCACTGTTTTTGGAGAAGTATTAGATGGATCATTTACAAATTTTACATACAAGTTTCCCATGGTTCCTTCTTGTTCGTAATCTGGTGCTGGTAACAAAAAGGCAAAAAGAGAAGAAAATGGATAACAGGAGGTCATCCAGGATTGAGACAGTACTGTTTGTTATTGCTATATCTTGTAGTACTGTAAGCGTCTTTGTTTACATATATAAGTTTCCATTTCGGTCTTATTTCTCATGATCAGTGTTCTGTACAAATTAAAGGATGGAAGAGAAACGGATGGGAAATGTCAAATTAATGAAGACTTAGTAAATACCATACCATTGTTGGAACGGAGATCCCTCTGGGGTCTCTTGTTAGTCCTTTACTGTAAACTTAAATATTCATCTTCAGTGTCTTATTTAACAGGTACAAAGTTTCTTCAGAGGCTGGTTGTGTCGACGACGCTGGAAACAGATTGTAGAACTCTATATACGATCCCCTCATGCAGAGAGCATGCGCAAACGTAATAGCATCGTGTTCAACATGGTGGAATGTGAGGAGGAATACAACCGGCAGTTGTCTACTCTTGTCACGTGCTTTCTGCGACCCCTTCGAATGGCAGCATCCTCTAAAAAGCCCCCCATTACTCATGATGATGTAAACTCCATTTTTTTAAATAGGTGAATATCATTTGTATTCTTCAATACTCTGCTGACTTGTATTTTGGTTCAGTACCCAACTGTATTAGGGTTATTAATCTGTTAATATGGGGAATGAGATGTCATGGTTCAGGTAGAGTCATATGGATGTCCCCATTCCCTCCATTTATCAGTGTTATTTAAGTTGAATGAGAATTTTTGCTGATAAGAATTTACACTGCAATTTTCTTTCTTTTTCAGTGAAACCTTGTTGTTTTTGCATCAAATATTTTTGAAAGGATTGTGTGCAAGATTAGAAAACTGGCCAACTTTAGTATTAGGTAAGTTCCCATACAATATCCCTGGTTTTCCAATAAAACTTGTGTTTTATATGCTACTCCCTAGCTATGCTATCTCTCTTTATATATTTATAGACATGGTAGATAATGAGTTATCTCCCCTGATTTTATGCTACAGGTGACCCGTTTGATATGCTGCTACCTATGTTATATATATATATAGTATATATAAAGAGTTATCCCCCCTGATTTTATGCTACAGGTGACCTGTTTGATATGCTGCTACCTATGCTATGTATATATAAAGTATAGATAATGAGTTATCTCCCCTGATTTTATGCTACAGGTGACCTGTTTGATATGCTGCTACCTATGTTATATATATATATATATATATATATATATATATAGTATATATAATGAGTTATCTCCCCTGATTTTATGTTACAGGTGACCTGTTTGATATGCTGCTACCTATGTTATATATATATATATATAGTATATATAAAGAGTTATCCCCCCTGATTTTATGTTACAGGTGACCTGTTTGATTTGCTGCTACCTATGTTATATATATATATATATATATATATATAGTATATAAAATGAGTTATCTCCCCTGATTTTATGCTACTGGTGACCTGTTTGATATGCTGCTACCAATGCTATGTATATATAAAGTATAGATAATGAGTTATCTCCCCTGATTTTATGCTACAGGTGACCTGTTTGATATGCAGCTACCTATGTTATATATATATAAAGTATAGATAAAGAGTTATCCCCCTGATTTTATGCTACAGGTGACCTGTTTGATATGCTGCTACCTATGCTATGTATATACCAGGAGTATGTAAGGAACCATCATTACAGTCTACAAGTGTTGGCAGAATACAAACAGAAACTAGAATTCAACAATCTGCTCAAACGCTATGAAGAGAAACCACTATGTGAAAGCAGAACATTGGAAATATTTTTAACTTATCCTATGCACCAGGTTTGTAGTCCCTTCTTTAATACAGTTCTATAGCCATTTTTATGAAATATCATACAGTGTCAGTTCATCATGCCTCATTCACGAGCCTAGGTGCTTTTTGAGTCCCTCATCACCTTATTGTATGTGTCTTGATCAGCACTGAAAGTAACATTCACAAAATGATCTATTGTTTAGGCATATTTAGCAATTAAAACTTTGCTATGTTAAAGTCATGCTGTTCTTAACAAAAATGGAAAATTGAATACATAAAACACAAATTTCAAATCCATATATATTTGGTTCATGGTATGTCACCCTGATATAATAATGGTTGATGGTGTGTCACCATGATATAATAATGGTTGATGGTGTGTCACCCTGATATAATAATGGTTGATGGTGTGTCACCCTGATATAATAATGATTGATGATATGTCACCCTGATATAATAATGGTTGATGGTATGTCACCATGATATAATAATGGTTGATGGTGTCTCACCATGATATAATAATGCTTGATGGTGTGTCACCCTGATATAATAATGGTGGATGGTATGTCACCCTGATATAATAATGGTTGATAGTGTGTCACCCTGATATAATGATTGTTGATGGTATCTCACCCTGATGTGATAATGGTTGATGGTATGTCACCCTGATATAATAATGGTTGATGGTGTGTCACCCTGATATAATAATGGTTGATGGTATGTCACCCTGATATAATAATGGTTGATGGTGTGTCACCGATATAATAATGGTTGATGGTGTGTCACCCTGATATAATAATGGTTGATGGTATGTCACCCTGATATAATAATGGTTGATGGTGTTTCACCCTGATATAATAATGGTTGCTGGTATGTCACCCTGATATAATAATGGTTGATGGTGTCTCACCCTGATATAATAATGATTGATGGTGTGTCACCCTGATATAATAATGGTGGATGGTATGTCACCCTGATATAATAATGGTTGATAGTGTGTCACCCTGATATTATAATTGTTGATGGTATCTCACCCTGATATGATAATGGTTGATGGTATGTCACCCTGATATAATAATGGTTGATGGTGTGTCACCCTGATATAATAATGGTTGATGGTATGTCACCCTGATATAATAATGGTTGATGGTGTGTCACCCTGATATAATAATGATGGATGGTGTGCCTCCCTGATATAATAATGGTGGATGGTGTGTCACCCTGATATGATAATGTTTGATGGTATGTCACCCTGATATAATAATGGTTGATGGTGTGTCACCCTGATATAATAATGGTTGATGGTATGTCACCCTGATATAGTAATGGTTGATGGTTTGTCAAGCTGATAAATTAGTGATTGATGGTATGTTCTTTTTTGTAAGTAATGGTTTGAAGTGTGTCACCCTGATAAATGATTAACTGCTTTCCTATTTAAAAGTTAAAGGAGATGGTCACCATAGTGAATTATAACCTATTTCCTTATTTGGATGTAATGCTTGGTGGTTTATGTAACACCATGGTAAGCTGCTGCTTCCTGAAAACTGGAGAGAACATTGCATTAAATCATAGACTGCTAAGCTAGATTTCTCCAAATCAGTCCATAGCAGAGACAAGGCAAAAGTGATGACCTTTGTTCCAGGTATTTGTTGGAATATCTACATGGTGAGAGGATCTTGCTTCTGATTGGCTGACTTACACAAGTTATCACAGTTCTTTTACTGGTGCTATTATACTTCTCTAGTATTATAATGGAAAGTCTTTTAGGTTGCTGTAGTTACTATTTGTTTTTGTTTGATTAGGATACAGTTTGGTTTGTTAGATATAAGATAGTTGGTCCAGACTAATCTCTTGGGTTTGGATTAATATACTGAAAACTGAATTAGAAGTTGTATATTTGACTCTCTCCTACTCAGATTCTGAGTTCTGTGTCTATCAACTACAGTTACTTGTGCCAGAAAATATTGTAGCATATATAATCATCATATATACATGCCTTTTGTAGTTATAGCAATACAGATGGATGTGTTTACCTCCCTTTAATCATACCTAACTAAGATATTGGTTATGTTGTATAGTAAGAAAGGGACATAACTCCTTACATACTAAAATTATTGGTATGTGCTCTTCCTAGGAATGCTAATCAAATTCAAGGGAAGATAACTCTGCTCTTTATCTATGAAGCTTATATAATCAAAATAATTTTGTTTTATAACTAATACTGGTGTTAACTGTTATTGGTTTTGAGGAAAACCTTGAAACATAATCGCTCTACCCAATTTGTCTTTGAAGATACTTTGATGCCTTAGCACTTGTCATTATATGTTGACAGATACCGTGATGTATAATTACACACTGTGAAATGTTGACAGATACCGTAATGTATATTTATACACTGTGAAATGTTGACAGATACCGTAATGTATATTTACACACTGTGAAATGTTGACAGATACCTGGATGTATATTTATACACTGTGAAATGTTGACAGATACCTGGATGTATATTTATACACTGTGAAATGTTGACAGATACCTGGATGTATATTTATACACTGTGAAATGTTGACAGATACCTGGATGTATATTTATACACTGTGAAATGTTGACAGATACCTTGATGTATAATTACACTGTGAAATGTTGACAGATACCGTAATGTATATTTACACACTGTGAAATATTGACAGATACCGTGATGTATATTTACACACTGTGAAATATTGACAGATACCGTAATGTATATTTACACACTGTGAAATGTTGACAGATACCGTAATGTATATTTACACACTGTGAAATATTGACAGATACCGTGATGTATATTTACACACTGTGAAATATTGACAGATACCGTGATGTATATTTACACACTGTGAAATATTGACAGATACAATGTATATTTACACACTGTGAAATGTTGACAGATACCGTGATGTATAATTACACACTGTGAAATATTGACAGATACCGTGATGTATAATTACACACTGTGAAATATTGACAGATACCGTGATGTATAATTACACACTGTGAAATGTTGACAGATACCTGGATGTATATTTACACACTGTGAAATGTTGACAGATACCTGGATGTATATTTATACACTGTGAAATGTTGACAGATACCTGGATGTATAATTACACACTGTGAAATGTTGACAGATACCTGGATGTATAATCACACTATGAAATGTTGACAGATACCTTGATGTATAATGTAAAATGTTGACAGATACCTTGATGTATAATTACACACTGTGAAATGTTGACAGATACCTTGATGTATAATTACACTGTGAAATGTTGACAGATACCTTGATGTATAATGTAAAATGTTGACAGATACCTTGATGTATAATTACACACTATGAAATGTTGACAGATACCTTGATGTATAATTACACTGTGAAATGTTGACCTTGATGTATAATTACACACTGTGAAATGTTGACACCTGGATGTATAATTACACACTGTGAAATGTTGACAGATACCTTGATGTATAATTACACACTGTGAAATGTTGACAGATACCTGATGTATAATTACACACTGTGAAATGTTGACAGATACCTACCTGATGTATAATTACACACTGTGAAATGTTGACAGATACCTTGATGAAATGTTGACAGATACCTGGATGTATAATTACAGACTGTGAAATGTTGACAGATACCTTGATGTATAATGTAAAATGTTGACAGATACCTGGATGTATAATTACACACTGTGAAATGTTGACAGATACCTTGATGTATAATTACACACTGTGAAATGTTGACAGATACCTTGATGTATAATTACACTGTGAAATGTGAAATGTTGACAGATACCTTGATGTATAATTACACTGTGAAATGTTGACAGATACCTTGATGTATAATGTAAAATGTTGACAGATACCTGGATGTATAATTACACACTGTGAAATGTTGACAGATACCTTGATGTATAATTACACACTATGAAATGTTGACAGATACCTTGATGTATAATTACACACTGTGAAATGTTGACAGATACCTTGATGTATAATTACACACTGTGAAATGTTGACAGATACCTTGATGTATAATTACACACTGTGAAATGTTGACAGATACCGTGATGTATAATTACACACTGTGAAATGTTGACAGATACCTGGATGTATAATTACACACTGTGAAATGTTGACAGATACCTGGATGTATAATTACACACTGTGAAATGTTGACAGATACCTTGTGATGTACAGATAATGTATAATTACACACTGTAAAATGTTGACAGATACCTTGATGTATAATTACACAGTATGAAATGTTGACAGATACCTTGATGTATAATTACACACTGTGAAATGTTGACAGATACCTGGATGTATAATTATACACTGTGAAATGTTGACAGATACCTGGATGTATAATCACACTATGAAATGTTGACAGATACCTGGATGTATAATTACACACTGTGAAATGTTGACAGATACCTTGATGTATAATTACACAGTATGAAATGTTGACAGATACCTTGATGTATAATTACACAGTATGAAATGTTGACAGATACCGTGATGTATAATTACACACTGTAAAATGTTGACAGATACCTTGATTTATAATTACACTCTGTGAAATGTTGACAGATACCTTGATGTATAATTACACACTGTGAAATGTTGACAGATACCTTGATGTATAATTACACTGTGAAATGTTGACAGATACCTGGATGTATAATGTAAAATGTTGACAGATACCGTGATGTATAATTACACACTGTGAAATGTTGACAGATACCTTGATGTATAATGTAAAATGTTGACAGATACCGTGATGTATAATTACACACTGTGAAATGTTGACAGATACCTGGATGTATAATTACACACTGTGAAATGTTGACAGATACCTTGATGTATAATTACACTGTGAAATGTTGACAGATACCTGGATGTATAATTACACACTATGAAATGTTGACAGATACCTTGATGTATAATTACACTGTGAAATGTTGACAGATACCTTGATGTATAATGTAAAATGTTGACAGATACCGTGATGTATAATTACACTCTGTGAAATGTTGACAGATACCTTGATGTATAATTACACTGTGAAATGTTGACAGATACCTTGATGTATAATGTAAAATGTTGACAGATACCGTGATGTATAATTACACACTGTGAAATGTTGACAGATACCTGGATGTATAATTACAGACTGTGAAATGTTGACAGATACCTTGATGTATAATTACACTGTGAAATGTTGACAGATACCTGGATGTATAATTACACACTATGAAATGTTGACAGATACCTTGATGTATAATTACACACTATGAAATGTTGACAGATACCTTGATGTATAATTACACTGTGAAATGTTGACAGATACCTTGATGTAGCTTCATGCAACTCGAGGACAAGTTATTTCCTGGATATAGAGTACGTAACTCTGGTAAATACTAGCTGCAATATACCACTCGGCTGGAGAGAACTTCTCTTTAGCTTGATTTGTTGAACATCAGACTAGTACGCCCGAGGTCCTGGGTCGGAATCCGAGCAGAGGCATGGAAATAAATAACGACTTCTGTTACAGACAGATAACCTTGAGGAATAATTACACACCATGAAATGTTGACCGTTATCTAATTGTTTTATAATGATAATTATTTGTTTGTGCTGACAAATATCATGATACAAAATTCTATTTCTTTGACAGATACCTCGATACATAATCACTCTGCATGAGTTGCTGGCTCACACCCCTCATGATCATGTTGAGAGACAAAGCCTGGAGTATGCCAAGAGCAAGCTTGAGGAGTTATCACGGGTGAGTGAACATTTGTAGCAGTCAGTTATCATGGTTGAGTGAACAGTGTTGTATGATTGGTGTAGAATTTATCATGGTTGTGGAAAAGTATTTTGTTATTGTCTGTTTTATGAAAACTTTGCCTTCGAAACAATTGGATTTTGACTTTAAAAGTTTGTTATCGCTATTTCTTAAGAAGTACTAAATTGATCTCTCTCATATTTCATCTGACAGTTCCCCTTGGTCTCTAGTTGTGCCCATGAAATTTTAGGACTGACCAAAAAAACAAAATGGCCAACAAATGGATATCTTAGATTTTGACTTTGAAAGTTTATCACTATTTTTTTACTACTACAACATAGATTTTTCTAAAATTTCATGTGTATGCATTCCTTGATCCCTACTTGTGCCTGTTTGATTTTGGCACTGATCAGAAAAAACAAAATGACCCACAAGTGGCCATCTTGGATTTTGACTTTGAAAGTTTGTTATCACTATTTCTTGAGAACTGATGAATAGATTTTTCTCAAATTTCATGTAAAGGTTCCTTTAGGTCCCTAGTTGTGCTTGAGTTTGGGACTGACCAAAAAAATCAAATACAGACAGCCATCTGGGATTTTGCCTAGTAAAGATTATCATGGCTGTTTCTGCAAAGGAATGTCTAAGTGTCTTATCATTAAGAGCCAAAATGGAGAAGAGCCGAGAAAAGAAGGGAAAAGATCCAACTTTCAAAGAGCTTATAAAGATCAAACAATGGTAGGCGCAAAGATCCTTGGGGATCTCTTGTCTGTTAATCCTGCAACATTCATTGAAAATCTAACAATCAAAACTTCATTAGTTTTGTTGTTCAGTCTTTGTTTACCTGACGTTGATGTTATACTGAATTTTGTCTGATGACATACACCAAAAATAATTGCTCCATGTAGAAATGTAGTTCTAAACCTCTAAGAATAAGACAGTGATTTTATGAATTTTCATAAATAGCTATGTTCATTACAACATATAAGATTGTTTATTTCAAAAATCATTTTATTGTTAAACATATTTGTTAAGTAATTTCAGAAAGTCGTTCTATCGTATTAATGTACATGATAAGATATAGCTAATTTCCATCATTGCCGAATACAGTAGAAATATATGTGGGAGACAAACTCTGACAATGGCAGGGCCAGATGCAGGAGGAGTCTAGATTAGATATCTGTTTTAAGTTGAATGATAAGAGAATATCATTCTTGTATCCTTTTATAAGGTTGCATATTCTATAGTTTTGCCTTATTTAGCTTTAGTTCTACGATTTTAGATAACTTGGAGATTTTCTTCACTAATTGTCAGCTTTCTTGTTCAATTTTTCAAGCTTGAGAAAAGTATATTTACAGACATTCTTAAGACAAACTTTAAATCTGTATAGTGTTAGTTCCATTTTTATTAAACTGTTTTTCTTTTTTAAATTAAGGACATTCTTTTGTATTCGTAGATTTAAAAATAAATACCTCGCAGACATAGGCTACATATGTTGTACATGTACAAATATTAACTCCTACTCATGATTGACACTCAGCCCATACCCATACATATATAGCTACATTAATATACATGTATAACAAAGTATTTGTCTGTATCTCAGTCCTAATCACATATGCTATGGGGGTTTGAAGTTGTAGAGTGTTTTTTAAATAATGAATTGTTTTTTCTGATACAGTTATGGGGAAAACCGTAATTTATTTCATAGTGGTGAAAATATTGTAAAAAAATTAGAATATGAAATTGGTTTCAATGATCATCAATGTCACAACCCAAAGTGATGGTCTTTGCCTAAATGGTTTAACAAGCAACACTGGATATGTTCACTGACCCTGTGTAGAATCTCATCTCCTGAGTATTTTCCATAGGCCTGCCAATACAAACCTTTGATTAGATATGGTGTGGTGGCCTACCATTAATAGGACTATTGATTGGTCAGGTCTGATGACCGCCTGACAATCAGACCAGGGCTACATCTCACAGCAGTGTTTAGCTGTGGCATGTCCACTCTAGGCAGCAGGATCAGTGTACATCTTTTGGAAGCTTGTCCAGGATAGTGATGTAACAGTCTCTAACTGTAGTGGGAGTATACCTGGTTCACACAGGTATTGTGTGCTGAAAAAGCTTCATTAAAGCCATTGATTCCTGAGACAGGTACAAATGTGATCGGTATTGTTTAACATCACACATGATCACTAATTGTTTGTACCTATATATAGTTGACCATTGGTCAATATGATTGGATTTTCCACATGGAGATGAAGTGTGCTGGTCATTAAGGTTAAGAGTAATTTTTTATGTGTGGTAAGGATAAGTCCAGCTATATTGCATTATACACACTACTCACTGTTGTACAGTAATCTAACCAAGCAAAATTTTACGTTTGTAACAACAAAATTTGTCACCAACACTGAAGATTATGTAATATAGTGTCATACTTGTAGATTATGTAATAGAGTGTCATACTTGTAGATTATGTAATAGAGTGTCATACTTGTAGATTATGTAATAGAGTGTCATACTTGTAGACTGTGTAATAGAGTGTCATACCTGTAAATTATGTAATAGAGTGTCATACTTGTAGACTGTGTAATAGAGTGTCATACTTGTAGATTATGTAATAGAGTGTCATACTTGTAGATTATGTAATAGAGTGTCATACTTGTAGATTATGTAATAGAGTGTCATACCTGTAGATTATGTAATAGAGTGTCATACTTGTAGACTGTGTAATAGAGTGTCATACTTGTAGATTATATAATAGAGTGTCATATTTGTAGATTATGTAATAGAGTGTCATACTTGTAGACTGTGTAATAGAGTGTCATACTTGTAGATTATGTAATAGAGTGTCATACTTGTAGATTATGTAATAGAGTGTCATACTTGTAGATTATGTAATAGAGTGTCATACTTGTAGACTGTGTAATAGAGTGTCATACTTGTAGACTGTGTAATAGAGTGTCATACTTGTAGACTGTGTAATAGAGTGTCATACTTGTAGATTATCTAATAGAGTGTCATACCTGTAGATTATGTAATAGAGTGTCATACTTGTAGACTGTGTAATAGAGTGTCATACTTGTAGACTGTGTAATAGAGTGTCATACTTGTAGATTATGTAATAGAGTGTCATACTTGTAGATTATGTAATAGAGTGTCATACTTGTAGATTATGTAATAGAGTGTCATACTTGTAGATTATGTAATAGAGTGTCATACTTGTAGACTGTGTAATAGAGTGTCATACTTGTAGATTATGTAATAGAGTGTCATACTTGTAGACTGTGTAATAGAGTGTCATACTTGTAGATTATCTAATAGAGTGTCATACCTGTAGATTATGTAATAGAGTGTCATACTTGTAGACTGTGTAATAGAGTGTCATACTTGTAGATTATGTAATAGAGTGTCATACCTGTAGTGTCATACTGATAGATTATGTAATAGAGTGTCATACTTGTAGATTATGTAATAGAGTGTCATACTTGTAGATTATGTAATAGAGTGTCATACCTGTAGTGTCATACTGATAGATTATGTAATAGAGTGTCATACTTGTAGATTATGTAATAAGTGTCATACTTGTAGATTATGTAATAGAGTGTCATACCTGTAGATTATGTAATAGAGTGTCATACTTGTAGACTGTGTAATAGAGTGTCATACTTGTAGATTATGTAATAGAGTGTCATTCTTGTAGATTATGTAATAGAGTGTCATACCTGTAGTGTCATACTGATAGATTATGTAATATAGTGTCATACTTGTAGATTATGTAATAGAGTGTCATACCTGTATATTATGTAATAGATTGTCATACCTGTTGTAATACCATACTTTATGATTATATAATACAATTTCGTATTTATAGGTTCGGTAATTCTGTGTTATACTTACAAATCATGTTATACATATTTGTATATTATAACTTCTTTCTTACAGATTATGCATGATGAAGTAAGTGAGACTGAAAACATCAGAAAAAACCTGTCTATTGAGCGCATGATAGTGGAAGGTTGTGACATACTCCTGGACGTTAATCAGACATTTGTCCGCCAAGGTAAGTCATGACTTTATTTAGTTACCATGTATACATATATATATATGTGTGTGTGTTTGCACATATATATATATATATATATATACAGTTGGAAATCATACAATATACGGTCATGTGCAAACACTTACTATACAGACAGGTGGAAAACTTACAGTATACAGACAGGTTGAAAACTTACTGTATATAGACAGGTGGAAATCTTACAGTAGTATACAGACAGGTGGAAATCTTACAGTATACAGACAGGTGGAATTCTTACAGTATACAGACAGGTAGAAAACTTACTGTATATAGACAGGTGGAAATCTTACTTTATACAGACAGGTGGAAATCTTACTGTATATAGACAGGTGGAAATCTTACAGTATACAGACAGGTGGAAAACTTACAGTTTACAGACAGGTGGGAAATCTTACAGTACGTAGACGGATGGAATTCTTACAGAAAGTTTAAGTATACATAGACAAGTTTTGTGAAGTGTAAGTATTTAAAATCTTCTGTTTGCAGTAGAACACTTTGGAATTGTTGATTTGATACAGTGTTTCGATAGGATTAATCAAGTGGAATACCAGGATTAGTGGTGACAGAACAGCAGGATTAGTGATGAGGTGATATAATGGGTCAGTAGGATTAGTGGTGTGTTGTTTTGGTGGGACAGCAGGATTAGTGGTGTGTTGTTTTGATGGGACAGCAGGTTTAGTGGTGTGTTGTTTTGATGGGTCAGCAGGATTGGTTGTGTCTTGTTTTGATGGGTCAGCAGGATTAGTTGTGTCCGGTTTTGATGGGACAGCAGGATTAGTGGTGTCTTGTTTTGATCGGTCAGCAGGATGAGTTGTGTCTTGTTTTGATGGGTCAGCAGGATTAGTGGTGTCTTGTTTTGATGGGACAGAAGGATTAGTGGTGTCTTGTTTTGGTGGGACAGCAGGATTAGTGGTGCCTTGTTTTGGTGGGACAGCAGGATGAGTGGAGCCTTGTTTTGATGGGACAGTGGGATGAGTTGTGTCTTGTTTTGGTGGGACAGTGGGATGAATTGTGTCTTGTTTTGGTGGGAGAGCAGGATTAGCTGTGTCTTGTTTTGGTGGGTCAGCAGGATTAGCTGTGTCTTGTTTTGGTGGAACAGCAGGATGAGTTGTGTCTTGTTTTGATGGGTCAGCAGGATTAGTGGTGCCTTGTTTTGGTGGGACAGCAGGATTAGTTGTGTCTTGTTTTGGTGGGACAGCAGGATTAGTTGTGTCTTGTTTTGGTGGGACAGTGGGATGAGTGGTGTCTTGTTTTGATGGGACAGAAGGATTAGTGGTGTCTTGTTTTGATTGGACAGCAGGATTAGTGGTGCCTTGTTTTGATGGGACAGTGGGATAAGTGGTGTCTTGTTTTGATGGGACAGTGGGATAAGTGGTGTCTTGTTTTGATGGGACAATGGGATTAGTTGAGTCTTGTTTTGGTGGGACAGTGGGATTAGTGGTGCATTGTTTTGGTGGGACAGCAGGATTAGTGGTGCCTTGTTTTGATGGGACAGCAGGATTAGTGGTGTCTTGTTTTGGTGGGACAGTGGGATGAGTGGTGTCTTGTTTTGGTGGGACAGCAGGATTAGTGGTGTCTTGTTTTGATGGGACAGAAGGATTAGTGGTGTCTTGTTTTGATGGGACAGAAGAATTCGTGGTGCATTGTTTTGGTGGGACAGCAGGATGAGTGGTGCCTTGTTTTGATGGGACAGCAGGATTAGTGGTAACTTAGTAAGATTAAGGTATATGGTTTGAGTATTAGACAAAGGTACATTGATGTTTACAAGATGTAACAGTATTTATAATACATACACATTTTGTATCAAATTACTGTGAAAGTTACCCATTAATAAATTATTCATAACAAGTGCTATAGACGTATACATGTGTAACTTGTCCCAGGCTTGACCAGTCAGGAATCAATACTGGACACTGGATGTGGTCAAGTGTTCCTTAGGTTCTCGTCGGGTGAGTCATCCTCGGATGAGGTCTATATATATCTGTCTATATCTATTTATTGGTGTCTTTATCAAGTTTAATACATCGCACAGTGTTTATGGGTCAGAGTTTTGGACTTTCAATCAGTTTAAAGTTTCAAAATAGGTTGATGATGTGCAAATTTAACTGCTGATTAAAAATTGCTTCATGAATAATTCATTTATGAAATAATGAAGTTTTAGAAGATGTGATATCACTAGAGCAGAGATTCTGGTGAGTGTACTGGCGTATACACAGGTCCTGGTGTGTGTTCTGGTGTATACACAGGTCCTGGTGTGTGTTCTGGTGTATACACAGGTCCTGGTGTGTGTTCTGGTGTATACACAGGTCCTGGTGTGTGTACTGGCGTATACACAGGTCCTGGAGTGTGTTCTGGTGTATACACAGGTCTTGGTGTGTGTACCAGTATCTACACAGGTCCTGGTGTGTGTACTGGTATATACACAGATCCTGGTGTGTGTTCTGGTGTATACACAGGTCCTGGTGTGTGTTCTGGTGTATACACAGGTCCTGGTGTGTGTACTGGTGTATACACAGGTCCTGGTGTGTGTACCAGTATCTACACAGGTCCTGGTGTGTGTACTGGTATATACACAGATCCTGGTGAGTGTACTGGCGTATACACAGGTCCTGGTGTGTGTACCAGTGTCTACACAGGTCCTGGTGTGTGTTCTGGTGTATACACAGGTCCTGGTGTGTGTTCTGGTGTATACACAGGTCCTGGTGTGTGTTCTGGTGTATACACAGGTCCTGGAGTGTGTACTGGTGTTTACACAGGTCCTGGTGTGTGTTCTGGCGTATACACAGGTCCTGGTGTGTGTTCTGGTGTATACACAGGTCCTGGTGTGTGTTCTGGTGTATACACAGGTCCTGGTGTGTGTTCTGGTGTATACACAGGTCCTGGTGTGTGTTCTGGTGTATACACAGGTCCTGGAGTGTGTACTGGTGTTTACACAGGTCCTGGTGTGTGTTCTGGTGTATACACAGGTCCTGGTGTGTGTACTGGCGTATACACAGATCCTGGTGTGTGTACCGGTGTATACACAGGTCCTGGTGTGTGTACCGGTGTATACATAGGTCCTGGTGTGTGTACTGGTGTATACACAGGTCCTGGTGTGTGTACCGGTGTATACATAGGTCCTGGTGTGTGTACCAGTGTATACACAGTTCCTGGTGTGTGTACTGGTATATACACAGGTCCTGGTGTGTGTACCAGTGTTTACACAGGTCCTGGTGTGTGTTCTGGTGTATACACAGGTCCTGGTGTGTGTACTGGTGTATACACAGGTCCTGGTGTGTGTACCGGTGTATACATAGGTCCTGGTGTGTGTACCAGTGTATGCACAGTTCCTGGTGTGTGTACCAGTGTTTACACAGGTCCTTGTGTGTGTACCGGTATATACACAGGTCCTGGTGTGTGTACTGGTATATACACAGATCCTGGTGTGTGTACCAGTGGTAACACAGGTGCTGGTGTGTGTACCGGTGTATACATAGGTCCTGGTGTGTGTACCAGTGTATACACAGGTCCTGGTGTGTGTACCAGTGTATACACAGGTCCTGGTGTGTGTACCAGTGTTTACACAGGTCTTGGTGTGTGTATTGGTGTATACATAGGTCCTGGTGTGTGTACCAGTGTTTACACAGGTGCTGGTGTGTGTGCTGGTGTATACACAGGTCCTGGTGTGTGTACCAGTGTTTACACAGGTCCTGACGTGGGGACTGGTGTATACACAGGTCCTGGCGTGGGGACTGGTGTATACACAGGTGCTGGTGTGTGTACTGGTGTTTACACAGGTCATGGTGTGTGTACTGGTGTATACACAGGTCCTGGTGTGTGTACCAGTGTTTACAAAGGTCCTGGTGTGTGTACCAGTGTTTACAAAGGTCCTGGTGTGTGAAGTCATGGTTGTAGAAATACAGTGGTATGTTTATCGTTGTACAGTTTTACTTTGATCCTGACCCAATGCTGGACACATGACCAGAACATCCTGATTGGTACATAAACTGACAGCTCAATCACAGTCTCTGGACAATTGTGTACTGAGACTACAGAAATCAATACAGCGCCAATACCAATCTCTTATATCTATTTCTCAAATGAAGGTCAGCTTAGGAAAATCACTACACAGCAGTCAGGAGGTGTGTGTGTGAGGGCTGTCTGAATCCTAGCTACCCTCAGATCTAGTTTTCAAATAAAGATCAGCTTAGGAAAATCACTACACAGCAGTCAGGAGGTGTGTGTATGAGGGCTGTCTGAATCCTAGCTACCCTCAGATCTAGTTCTCAAATAAAGATCAGCTTAGGAAAATCACTACACAGCAGTCAGGAGGTGTGTGTGTGAGGGCTGTCTGAATCCTAGCTACCCTCAGATCTAGTTCTCAAATGAAGGTCAGCTTAGGAAAATCACTACACAGCAGTCAGGAGGTGTGTGTGTGAGGGCTGTCTGAATCCTGGCTACCCTTAGATGTGAATTGTACAGTCCTTGTCCCCCAAGGGCCTGAGGGGTGGGGCCAAAAGGTGTCAAATTATCTCAGATTTCAAAAGTCTTCTTCTCAAAACTCAGATATGGTAGCATCAAATACTCTTCACTGATGGAAGCATCTTAACGGGCTTTACCAAAATTGTGAATTGAATGGCTCCAGGGTCTCACATTTCCACTTGGGGAGAGGGCAAAATTTACGATAGCTTATATAGGATACTAGATTTCTGAGCATAACTTTTTAATTTCCAATGGAAATATTTCAGACTTGGTTAGAATTAGGAGTGAAAGGTTGTTAAGTCTCATTGTACCCTATATGATGAACTACAGTTTTGTCTGTTCCATAACTTTGGTTTTCATCTCCACAGCATGCCTGTGTCATATGACAGACATGTGATAGACATGTGACTGACTTGTGATGGTCAAGATTGATTTTGACAATTTTGATTTTTTTTTTTTTTTAGAAAATATGGATAATTCCCAGTTCAAGCTTAAATTGTGGATTATTCAGGTCCATT